CTCTGAGCTTAGCACGGACATTACCATTTACCCAGGGCTTTTGGTTAGGGAAAGTCCTGACACTGACCCTAGGGACGACATCATCAATGCATTTGGAGATATATGAAGAGACAGTGTCTGTGTATTCGTTGATGTCCCCATCCGCTGCAACACAGAACATCTGCCAGTCTGTTGTTTCAAAGCAGTCCTGGAGAGTGCTAATGGATTCAGCACTCCAGCGTTGAACTGCCCGAAAAACCGGTTTCATTATCAGAAGCACTTTATTATTACATTACATTACATGTCATTTAGCTGATGCTGTTATCCAAAGTGCATTCGACATCTATGAGGGGCTATTCGGGCTTCAGCATCTTGCCCAAGGACACTTTGGCATGGACTGTGATTCGAGCTGCCAACTTTCTGGTTGGAGTCTGTCTTGCCATGAAGAGGGAGAATTTTACCTTGCGAGAGAGACCTTAAAAACATTAAAGAAATTCTTCCCCAACAAAAGGTTAAGGTCCATCATTTTGGCAAACAAAATCTAGCATGAGCATAGAAAATATTTAAAAGGGTTACCTTGTTTGTCCGAGCCATTTTCATAAGTGATAAAATGGTTAGCCATGTTAGCACACTCCTTCTTCTGTAGTGGTGATCCATGGCAACAAATGTCACAGATAAAATAAAATTATCCCACAGGGCTAGTGAAAAGAGAGACAGGAAAAAAGACATTTCCTTAGAAACTTCATAATCTCTCTTATGCAAAGAGCGAGGAAAACAAAAAAATACAGCTACATATTTCCCAGTCACTCAAAAGAAAAAGGTCTGTTAAAGTCACTGCTAATCTTTTAACTTCTGTGTCAATCCAGGAGTGGAAATAATGTCCTTCTAGAAGGGGGGGCTAGATGAGCTGGGTCACCAATGAGACCATCAGAAAAAAAGCTCTGAGAAGCCAAAAAAATACAACTTTTAGATGCACATAAATGGAGAGCAGAGCCCGCTAGTCTAGAGAATTAATGTTGATGAGAGCCTTCTTTGGATCATCAAATTCACGATGACCCTCCCCCGTCCGGATGATGAGCACAGCAGGAAATACCAAGGCAGTCATGTGTCGGTCATACTATGCTTTATAAAACTTGAGTAAAATATTACTGTTGACCCATTTGTGATATCTTTCTGTAAAGATTTACTCATTTATTGTAGTTTATGTTGTAGGTTTTATTCAGTTCCTGAGTGAATCAGACTTCCAGGTATGCCCACTGCCTCACTTGGTGTGACATCAGACAGTATTCCTCCAAGATTCTCATACGTTTGGGAATTGTTGACTCTGGTTTATGGAGAAAGGTGATGATTATTTTTGTGAATGTCATTTCACCATGTATTTTCAAAAAGAAAATCCAGGAAGTAATTTACGCTCCAGGAAACAGTGAGAGAAAGGACATTCAGGGGACACAGTAGGGCTTATTTAAGGGAGGACGTTTTTAACAATTCATATTTTCTATTACTGGTTTGAGTTATATCCTGATATTGATTTCATGTGATGTTTGCATACAAGTAAATTGCAATAGCATGGACCATAAGCATAGAAGGTGGACTGGTAGCTGGAGAGGTGTCAGTTCACCTCCTGGGCACTGCTGAGGTGCCCTTGAGCAAGGCACCATACCCCCCAATTGCTCACAGGGCGCTTCTCCTGGGGCTGCCCATCACTCTACTCTATAATCTCTCTCCAATGTGCATGTCTTTGAGCCCTCTGTGTGTGTGTGTGGGATTGGGTTAAACTGCATGTATAAAAA